AGAAGGATCCAACCCAAAAGAAAATGAAAGACCAATCTCCCTGGTGAACATAGATGAAAAAGTCCTCAGTAACGTTCTAACAAACAGAATGTAGCAAATCATTAAGATTATACATCATAACCAAGAAAAGTTCATCCAAGAAATGCAGGGATGGTTCAACATACACTAATCAATAAATGTAATATATTACAGTAAGATATCCAAGGACAAAAACTATATAATCATCTCAACAGGCACTTAAAGATCATTTGGCAAAAATGACCTTAAAACTCAATCCAAAAATAGGGATCTGAGAGAAATAAGACACTTCTGAGATGAAGAAGTAGAAAGGGCAAATAAATACATGAAAAAATGTTTGAAATCACTGGTCATTTGAGAGATGCAAGTTAAAATAATGCTAAGGGGCTGGGAATCTAGCTCAGTGGTATAAGTGCCTGTTTAGTAAGCACAAGGTCCTGAGTTTGATTCCCAGCACCAAGAAAAAAAAAAAAATGAACAAACAGAAAACAATGCTGAAATCTCATTTCACTCTAGAAAGAACTGTTATTATCAAGAAATCAACCAATAATAAATGCTGCAGGCCTGTGGAGGAAAAGGAACCCTTTTCCACTATTGGTGAGAGGTTAGCCTGGTGCAACTACTGTGGAAATCAGTGTGGAGATTCCTTAAAAAAAACAAAAAACTAGAATTACAAGTTGCATTTCCTGTCTAAGTATCCTCCTGGAGGAACTAAAAACATCACCCCACAGTGATACACACACACCCTGGTTTACAGTAGCACAGTTTTGGGCAGCTCAATTTTGGAAACAGCCTAAATGCCCATCTAGTGCTGAGTGGACAGAGAAGATGTGGCTGTTTTCTACACTGCAGTACTACTCTGCCATAAGGAAGGATAAACTTGAGATATTTCTAGCTCAATGGATGCACCTTGAGGCCATACTCTTAAGTGAAATAAACTGGACACGTGTAAATATTGTGTTGTTTTGCTGGTGTCAGAAGTCAAAAATGTAAGTAAAGACAAAAACATATAATAGATATTGGGAAATGGGAAGAAAATGTTCAAATGAGAAGGGAAAAACGGGAAAGGGAAGGGCAAAAGAGGGAAGGGACAAGAACCAAAAAAGAGAAAGGGAAAATAGAAACAAAGCCTTTGTAAATATTGAGGGGAAGAGGGGTTGAAGGGAGGGGAAGGAAATGGGAAAAAAGAAGCAAATTACACTATGTACAGGTAAAATTCTGTAAGATGAATGTGATCACTAGGTACATCTAAAACGCACCAATAAAAAAAAGTGCAGAGGGTACAGCTCAGTGTGAAAGTCTGGGGTTCCATCACTAGTATCACCCACCTCCACGACCATCACCGTCACCACCACCACCACTGCAAATTGTAATTTAAAAATGAACAAAGGGTTGAATAGACATGTGTCCAAAGCATGTGGGCACAGTCAAAGGTGCTCAGTATTATTAGTTATCAGGGCTTTGCAAATCAAAACCACCATGAGATACCACTATATACCCATGAGGATGGTAAAATCACAAAGGCAGTAACAGCAATCGGTGGGGTGACAAGTGAGGAAAGTGACACCTTCAGACACTGTGGACAGAACTACTAAACAGTGTTGTGTCTCTGGAAAACAATCTGGCAGTCCCTTGAAGTTTGAACACAGCTTCCACACGCCCAGCAATTTCTCTCCCAGATACACACCCAAAAGAAACGAAAACATCTAAGCATACAGAGACTTGTACATAAATGTTCACATTGGCATGGTTCCTGGTAATCACAAACTTCAAACAACCTGAATGTTTATTTAACTGCTGAACACATAAACAAACATGGATTATCCCTGTAATGGAATATTGTTCAACTCTAAAGGGATGGAACACCAACACACACTACAGCACAGCCCAACTATGAAAACAATGTGGATCAAAGGGGCCAATCACAAAGGACTACATACTCCACTATCCTATTTACACAAAATCTCCAGAGCAGGAATCCATATAGGGACAGACTGCAGGGTAACACGGGTATGAATGAGAAGAGACTGCTAATGGGTATAGGTTTCTTCGGATGTGACAAAAATGTTTTAAAACTGGGACATTGGTAATGGTCACAAAATTCTGACAACAGGCTACATATGATTGAACTGTATAACGTAAAAGGGTGAATTTTGTAATATGTGACTTTGATTTCACTATTATTTAAAAAATCCCACAGATGGAAAAAACACAGAATGAGGGAATCGACTAGAATTCAACCCTTTATCAGCAATAGAGACTAGATGACAAGAAAGTAACCTTTTCAAGTGTTTGGAAAAATGTTTACAGTTTAGAATTCTCTATGTCTTGCCAACTATAAGTGAGGCTGAAATAAAAACATTTATGGACATTTATATTCTTTATTTTTTTCCAGACATAATCTTTTCTTAGAAGCTATAGGAGGATATATTCTGTAAGAAAAAAGAGGGAGACTAAAGATACAACACAGGAAATACACATAATTTGCAAGATAATGAGGGCATGGCTGGAACCAATAGCCAGGCAGCGGGTCCAAGGACAACGGGAAGGAGAGGGCTTCAGAAGGAGAGGTTCCAAGAAAAAAAGAATAATAAACTACAAAAAGTAATACACGGGATTAATGTTTTTGTAAGGAGTTTTACAATGTTGGTTACATTTGGGGATTCCTTTTCAATTAGTTCGTGTAAAACGAACAAAACCTAAGGCACTGGTAGCCGGGCACAGTGATGCATGCCTGTAATCCCAGCACTTCCGGAGTCCGCAGCAGGAGGATTACACAGGAGTGCAGCCTGGGAAGCTTAGTGATCTACTGAGGTTGTCTCAAAATAAAAATAAAAATAAAAAATAGAAAAGGCTGGGGATGGAGCTCAGTGAGAAGGCTCTGGGTTCCGTCCTCATTTACTTACACACACAAAGACATTGGCAACTTTAGGAACACCTAAAATTGTACAAGGGTACAAATGTATTCGCCATGGACCCTGTGACTCACCCTTGGACAAGTTTCTTGGTTCTCATAACTTAAGGTGATTACTGATTTCTACCATAAAAGGAGGAAACTCTATGTGAAGATGGGGAAACCGAGTGTGCAGAGCATGGCAGGTGAAGATGAGGACCTAAATCCTTATATCCTAAAGTAGGACAGACAATGCTTTAAATTGAAAAACCAATAAATACCCTCAGAGGGGAAGAGCAGAAGAAATACCTTCACAAGACGAAAGACTGGTTTCCTATTTGGAGAATCGGGGTGAAGAGAGAGGGGTGGGGTTCAGGCTGCCGTTCTGCTTTATTATTGAACTATTTTTTTCTTTCACAAGTTTCTAACATGATCTACTAATAAACCAAAAGTGGCAAAACCTGGTACACACAGCAAACTAAGAACTAGAAGGAAATCCAGTCACACGTTCTGGAGACGGGGCCTGGATGCTGCTCTGGGGCTGTGGGGAATGGGGTAGGGGGGCTTTGAAGGAGCCTTTTCTGAATTATCTAGAGCACAAACCGTTTCTCTTATTGAGGAAAGACACATGGACAGTTTTGCACAGCTGCATGTACCCGACTCTCAATGTCATTTTAACTGGGTTGCAGGAAGACTTTCTCCCTCCTGATGGGGCCCGGGAGACTTTCTTCCAGACTGACTATTAGCAAAGGAGATGAGAGGTCAGGGGGCCATACAGGTCAATGTCAGCTGCCAAAACGAGTCTTCCCCTGCCTGAAGTTAAACCAGCGAACCGTGTCTCTGCAAGGATGCTTTGCAGATCTGCTAAGGAACATCTCTAACCTCGTACCTCTCATTTGATCCTTTAAGCTTTCAAAGCTCATCTACAACCATCACCTTATTGGACAGTTGTTGTCTGATTCTCAACAATAACTCTGGGATGAGAGAGAGGTAAGATCAGTGCCATTTTATAGATGAGGAAGCTGAGGTCAGAGAGATGAGACCATCGGGCCTTGGGCTAGGACACAAGACTCTCGCTTCCAGATCAGCCTGTGTTGGGCTTCAAACGCTAATGACAGACCTAGTATAAGAGAGTTTTCCTCCCAGCAGAAATACCACTGAGTAATCAAACAAACAGAAAGGTTATAAAGTAGGACATAAGAGTCTTCCCTCTGGAAATGATCACTGTGGGTTTGGCATATATAACTATATATACCTTTATGTTTTGAGCAAATATACAAAAGGATAATGTTATAAGCTGAAAAACCAATAAAGTTAATTTTAGTATAAAAAGGATTATTGTAAATGGTACTCTTTCCCTTTATGAAACTTAACAATACATTGTGCACAGGCACATCCTTTTAGAGGCTGTGCAGAGCTCAATAATTAGCTTACCTGGTCCCATATACAAAGACACTTAAGCTACTTCAGCTGTTCTAGTATTATAAGCAATAACTGCGGCAAATGTCTATGCACTCATATTTGACAGCTGTTTTATTTCCCAGGGATATATTCCTAAAAGAACAACTTGTAAGTCAAAGAGTATAAACATTAAAAATGTGAATATACACACTCATCTTGCCTTTGTAGGTAGCCCATTAAATGCAGACTAGCCACCAATAACACATGCGGATGTCTATGTCCCATGCTTCAACTTGCAAAAGGCATCACCAGTCTTTCAAATCTTTTCTCTCCTGACTGTCAAACACTATATTTTGTTTTAGTTGCAATCCACTGTTCTCTGATCACTCATTCACCTGGGTATTTTTGCTGTCTTTTTCAGCCAGGTGTTTTTTGTTTGTTTCTTTGAGTCTTTTCTTATAGTGAAGAATACATTTCCCTTCAGCATTCTGAGGAACACATGAGTTTCTAATCTGTTTGAGTAAGAACTTCTGATAGAGGTTAACCTGGGTGGCCGAAGTAGACATTTAAACATGGAAAGGTGGGTACACAAAGATGATCAACATTCTCAGCATGGCTGGGTTCACCCCCAAAACCCCAGTAAAACGCCGTCTCGTCAGGGGGAAACCTCAGGAGGGGCCGCACCTACCTCCACGAAGGCGAACTTTTCCTCGCTAGTGTAGTTGTAGCGGGTGGCTCTCTCGTACTCCTCCGCCGTGCCGGGGCAATCCTTGTTGCAGAACTTGTCTGTGGGGTGAACCAGCTTCCAGGAGTACTGAGGAGAGTGGGGAGAATCCAAATGCCCATCAGCTGATGGAGTGGGAAGCAGAACGTCACGTGTCCATGCAAGAGAGCATTACTCAGCCATGCAAACGATGGCATGGAATAACCTTGAAAGCATGCAAAATAAAAGTCTACAGAAAAGTCTACACACATCATGAGTCTATCTAAATGGCACATCCAGAATAGGGAAAGCTACAGAGACAGAAAGTAGATTCCTCAGGGCTGCAAGCATGGTGGGTGATATATGCAGTTTCTTTCTGAAATGATAAAATTGTTCTAAATTGAAGTGTGGTTGTATAACTCTGTGAATACATGAAAATCCACTAAAGCAACACTTTAAACAGTGTGCTGTGTGAGTTAAGCCTCCATAAAGCTGTTAAAAAGAGAGCTGGAGAGAGGCAGAGCAGATAGATTCTTAGTGAACAGGGGTCAGCATGAGGGCCTAGGCCAGAGGACACGTACCACCTCCATGACGTGGGCACTCCACTTAGATAAGAGCTGCAGTCCCCGCAATGCCAGGTCGAACAGTTCACGGTACTCCTCGTCTGACTTCTGACTGTCCAGTCCGGACCCCGTCACCACCTGGGAGACACTCACCATCACGCTCACCATCCATGTGCCTTGTACTTACAAACACCGATTTACCGATTCCCCCCAAGGACTCTACAGGAAAGTGCGATGATTACATCCCCTTAACAGTTGAAATGGCCTCAGATAAGTGTCCTGCTGAAGGCCATGAATGCCTGAGGATCCCAAATGAGGAGGTGAAGTGCCCACTCTTAACCTCCCCTGGGCCTGAAATTCCATGCTTTCAAACTCTTCTGATTGTGTTTATAGGAGGAGTACAGTGCAGACTGCACCGTGACTCAAGAATACACCTTTGCACTGAGATACTAAGTATGTAAATGCATGCAAGGAGCAATGATTTCCACACAACAACCAATGTATCTATCTACCTACTTACCTTTGGTGGCTCTGGAAATTGAACCCAGAGCTATTACTCTGCCTGTTAGTTATATTCACAGCCCATTTTATTTTTTATATGAAGACAGGTTCTTGCTAAGTTGCACAGGTTGGCCTTGCATGTGTAATCTGTTTGTCTTAGCCTCCTGAGTGGCTGAATTAGGAGTTGCCAATAAGGGCTTTCATCTTACTCTTAATATATGGAATTCCCTCTAACGTCTATTCTCTTTCATATACTAATCACAAGTCACTCAATTGACTTCATAATTCACTTGTCATGACTCATTATTAAAAAGCTCTGGTTCAGACAAACCTCTGTCTTCATGTATTATACATTCCAAAACGTAAGTCTGTATAGGCACAGACACACTACATGTGCGAACGCATACACAGATGTAAAGCCAGTCCTGGTTATTGGCAGATATTTTATTTGTGAACTCATCTACTTGCCAAAACCCACTTGTAACCCTAAAATCAACACTTGTGATTTTTCAGCCATTTGTAAACATATGCATGTTTCCAGCTGAGGCTGCACAAAAAGACTCTTGGCCTTTGGTTTCAGCTCTCAGATTGAACAAAAGTCCTTTTCACAGTCTACTCAGCACCATGCTGTCCATGGTTTTGCACTTTGCATGGGTGATATCACAAGTGGAAATGGCCCCCTAAGATCAGGGCTGATGTACTACTTATAGGAAACATCCAGAATAGGGAGACCTATAGAGAGAAAGCAGATTGCTCAGGGTTGAGGAATGGATGTGGCCCTACCTGCAAGAAAGCTATAACATACATGTTTCAATAAGATTAGGTCAGGAATAAGTGATGACACTATAGGCCCTCTGTTAATGCCAACAAACAATATAAGTATATCTCCTAAGGTCTCTTTAGATAGAAGCACATATGAAACACAATTATGTATTCTCTGGTTGATGAAAATATTGTGCCAAAAGGGCTGCACAAGTCTGTTTCCCTTTGGAGACGGTTGAAGATGTGCTAATTTGGAACTCACAGCCCCTTTGTAGACTCAAACTCCTGCATTAGTGAGAACTGGCTGCACCTACATAGGTACCAAGTGACTGCATCTAGCCCTCTGTGAACCAGTGCAGTCCCAGAATGATGGATGTGGGTTACTCAGAAAGGCCCTCTACTGAGCCTGTGCAGTCTTGTCGCTGTCATACTCCCTAGACAATATTCAAACATGGGAAAACTCCACCAGGAGCAAAGGAGCACCGGCACTCAAGAAAAGTGGTTCCCGTGGCTCTGTCTAGGGGACTGGCACATTTGGTAACAAGGCCAAGGGCTTGGGCTTTATCTTCTCCAAGGGAGCCACTAGCTTAATGGCCACACGGCCTGCATTTGTTAAAATGGTGCCCATTTCAGATACTGGGCTTTATAATCAATGCCATCTCCAAAGGAGCAGATCACTATGGCTGCTGGCCACATGGTGGAACCAGGGAGCCAGACCTGTGAGGTGGGGCAGAGCCCTCCAGAGCAAAGGAGCCCAGGCAGCTGACCTGTGTCTAACAGGACACACACATTTATGAAAGGTAAGCTACAGAACAGACCTGGGAAGCATGTCTCCAGATATCAATCCTAACTATTCTGGGGTAGTATGATTTTACCACATTGTCCCTCCTTATGCTATCTGTTTTTGTCTGAGTTTTGGGCACTAACCATGTATCCATGTTCAAAAAAGAAAAATGCAATCCATTATTGAGATAGTACGAGATTACAACAGCCCTCTTCTGTGCCTGAATGCATCTATGATTTTTTTTTTTTACAACAATCACTCATTCCTGTGTAATTTAAAAAAAATATTTAGACGTTGGTAGGAACATGTGGGTTGAGAACCTATCTTGTTGCCATCAAAGGTGGAGATGGCTTGGGTCCTATACAGGGATCTACCAGGCGCAATACCTGTCCCATGCACTGAATTATTTAATTTTCTTAACAACCCTTCAGGATATCCCTGTTTTATTTTTAACTGATATGCAGAGATTATACATACTTATGGGACTCGATATAATTTTTCAACCCATGCACATAATGCCTAATGAGCATATAAGAGTAACTGACATATCTAATTTCTCAGACACTGACCATTTCTTTGTGTTTGGATTTATTCAAAAGCCTCTGCTAGCGACTTTGAAATACCTGCTAACTGTTGTCAGCCACAGTTAGCCCACTGTGCAACAGAATGTTAGGAGTTACTCCTCCTACCCGACTGCACCCCTACAACCATTAACCACTGTCTCTTCATTACCCCAGCCCCAGGCCCTTCCTGGGCTTTGGTATTACAGGCATTTTGCAGATGAGGAAATTGCAGTGCAAAGATGTTGAGTCCTTTGCAAGGGACAGTGGCAGAACCAGAAGCAAAATGACTGGGTGAAATATACCCACACCATGCCTTACGCTCCTTGTCAAGTTTCACCTACATTCTGACTGGCTCTAAGACGCACATGCTGCCCTCAGCCTCAGACTGTGTTCCCTCCCTGTCCTCTCCTTTATCCCCATGTCCTGGTCCTTCCCAGATGCTCCGTACCCACCCAGCCTGGGCGCACCTGGGCCGCTCACCTCACTGTTGCTGTAGCGAGCAAGCTCAGAGATAAAGCGGATGTGGTCGTCCCGGATCTGAACCATCTGCTCGCAGATGTTGTACTGAGGGCTGATGCTGCTCTGCGTGCATGTCCACCTGCAGTGAAATCACACGGTCAGGGGGCCTGGCCCTGGGCAGCTGGCTGGAACTGGTTCCTTCCACTCACTAGTTGTACCTGGTCCTCAGCCGATCAGCCAGCTCCCCTGGGTGGAACCAAAATGTATTCCTGCCATTTCAGCACCGGAGCCTGCTGAACTCAGCACTGTGCAGCCCAGGCTGAGCACGACAGTCCTTCCTCATCCTCCTCCGAGACCCAGCCTTAGGACCCTCATACCTGGGCACCGATACTTACCAGTTCCAGCCGAGGGCTGAGGGTGGGGATCACAGCCCCTCCATTATACAAAGGGCTGGAGTCTGAGCTAAAACAATCAAAGCAGGCAGCCCTCCTGCTACACACTCTAAAAGCACAGACATTCTGGTGGGGCTCTGGTGGGGCTCTGGAGGGGCCATTGGGCCAGGGCAGGGGAAGACTAAACAGGCTGGACCCCCTTTTCCAACAGTTATCTGGTGTCAAGGATGCACCCCAAGATGAGAAAGTCCACTTTGAGATACATCTCCCTCTACCAGGCCTCTCTCTTTTCCCTTCCTCTCCCCCTATTCTCTTTCTTCCTTCCTCTCATCCCTCTCCTCAACTTTTTCTGGAAAGACATCATTAGAAAACCACCTGACTGGACAAGGAGGTGAATGAAAAGCCTCCTTTCCCTCCCCTCCCTCACTGTCTGGAGCTGATGACTGGCAGACAGCCTGAGCACAAGCCCTGAACAAGCCAAAACACAAAAAAACACTGGAGAGTTTTTTCAAAAGGGGCCCTAGCCAGGGATAGTGGCACATACTCACAGTCCCAGCTACTCAGGAAGCTGAGGCGGGAGGACTGCAAGTTTGAGGGCAACCTGGGCAACTCAACAAGACTGTCTCAAGATAAATAAAAAGGGCCGGAGCTGTGGCTCAGTGCCCAGACTGTGGGTTCAACGCCAGCACAAAATGAAACAAAACAGAACAAAACAAGGCCAGAAGTGGTTTTTATAAGCAGGCTTGGAATGGTGACAGCCTTCCTCATGCTTGGACTTTACTCTTCACTCTGAGCTACTTCTGGGGTGACAATGACATTGGCATTCAAATTTCCTGCCTGGTCACACAACAGGCTCCATGTCCACCAGCTGCAGGAGGTGGAGGACTCACACGGGAAAGGGGAGGGAAGCAGCTAAGCCTCCTCTGCTCCAAACTCTCCCTCTGGGACAGCCTCCCTTCGGGACCAAGCAGGTGTGGCTTAAGGACATTCTGATGACTTCCTTCTTTATTTTGGATACTCAGGATTGAACTCAGGGCCCTGCACATATTAAGCGAGTGCTCTACTTTGAGCTACATCTCTGGTCCTTTTACAATTTTGAAACAAGGTGCTGCTAAATTATTCAGGTTGGGCTTGAACTTGCGAGCCTCCAGCCTCGGCTTCCCAGGTGGCTATGATTTAGGTGTGCACCACCACGCCGAGGTTATAGGCATCTTTTTAAGGCACTACTCTCTCACCATTGACCAAAGGATGCCCAGTGTGCATAGAAAGGCCTTGTTCACACTCCGTTTGGGGCAACATGCCCCACACAGGAGTTGTCTGTACAGCCACGGGGACCAAGGCATAGGCAAGGGTGGAGCCAGTACCTCTCCAAACTCCAGAAGCCACTGACACCCAAGCCCCGGCACAGAGTTCCTAGCACCCTGGTTTATAAAATGACCTCCAGGAGGCTGTGAACATCCTGCACCGCCAGAATCATCCAAGCTGATCACTGAACCACGTACTTACTGTGTGGTCACAAATCCTGAGGAGCAAATCGGGGTGACGGAGGACACCACCATCTCTCCACCTGACCACTGAGGGCCAGCCACTCCTCCCCACTTCTCAGGGAAAAGGATGCCCACGGTCCCACTAAGGAGACACGCAGGTTACTGCTGAGTCAGACAAGGGACGTGGCGAGGCTCTGAGTCCTTTTGAACCTAGCAGCAAAGGGCAGATACAAAAGGGCTCGGAGCACACTTAGCCGGTGCCCTCTGTGGTGGTGGCAGTGGAGGTGATGGTGGCAGTGGTGGTGGATGGAACCTGCCGGCCCAGGGCTCTGGGGAGGGAGGAGGGGCTGAAGTGGCCCCTCAGCCCCCTGCCCGGGCTGGGCGTCCTGTGGGAGCCAAGAGACATTACGGCAGGCACTCACTTGGACTTGTTCTCTTCATAGTGAGCACTGGTCTTAATGTATCTGGCCAGCTCTATCTGCATGTCGCCGAAAAGGGGCACCACCTGCAGCTGCTGTAAAGGAAGCAAACAGCGCGTGAGACTCAGGCCATGGAGGGCTGGGACGGCTGTCTTCAGCGCAGGCCTGTGTGTACCTGGACCGGCCCCCTTTTTGTGCTACCAATAGTGATACCTTAGGTTTCTGGAACCGAGAGGAGCCCCAGCCAGCATACAGGTCCTTCCCTGCCTCCAGTCAATTCCATGTTCCAAGTGACTGAGCCCAGAGAAGTGAAGTAATTTGCCAGAGGTCACACAGCCAGTTAAACGAATGAAGGCAGAGGAACACCTGGCTGTCCTCTCCGTGCCGGGTCTTTTCTGTTCTAACTTCCCCCAGCTCAGAAATCCTTGCTGCTCCAAACTCTGCTCCAGGAGTCTTGTCTGAGTGTGACTGCTGGTTGTGGCCTCTGTGAAAGGGTCATTACCACGGCAAGACCGTGGACCTGATACTGGAGGGCAGGAACTCCTAACAAAAGCCAGGGCCAGTGGAGGGGCAGCTGTGCTTGCCATCTGCTGCCTCTGCATGGAGGACTTTACAAAACCGCCCCGACCCACACCGTAACCTGTGAAATCAGGGCCACTGACACTGGCACTTCACAAACGAAACTGACACGGAGGAGGCTGGCTCAGAGGAGGCTGGCTAGAGTCAAGGAGCCAGGATTATATCCCAAGGCTCCGACGAAGCTCTCTGATCCCGATGAGTCCTTGAGCAAACTCAAAGGCGATGCTCTTAGTATTCATGCCTTTTCAGCCTGGGGAACTTAGCCCCACTGAGATTCCTGTCTCACCAGGAGCCGCCTGTGTGCTAAGGTGCAGAGCCAGACTGCACCGGACCGATCTGTGGGGTGGCTGCATCCTGCCCCCTGCCTGACTTCATTCATGCTGAAGTGAGGCAGATTCTGCGAGGGTCTCCTAAGGCAGCAGAGTTCATGGTGGGCCGTCTGCATCGCTGGACGCTCCATAAGGTTTGCCATCTCTGTTCTAAGGTGAGCCCTGTTTTCATTTGGGGAAGTTCCAGAGAAAATTTAAAATCCCTTGTTCAAAGAACCCAAGCCAGGCCACAAGACTCCTCCAGGTGACTTATGTTTCCCACAGCCTCAAAGACATTGTGGGACCCACACCAAGCCTGTGCCCTCTGCTCTGCCTATTCAAGGGGTTTTGCTATTAATATTAACCTGGACACTCTTGTGTCTCAGACTCCAGGCCCAACACTGCCACACACTAACTACATGAGTCAATCCAGAGTACAAAACCCCCTTGTCAAAGTTATGACTCAACCTCGAGTTTGTGTTTTCAAAGACTGGGGGCCAGAAGTTGAGCTCCCAGAGGCACAGGATGGAGGGAATGTCCTGGCTCTCTGCACCGAGAGGACGGCAAGCTGAGGTAGTAGCCCCTGGCTGTGATGTGGAAAACGTGAATCCATTTTAAGTGTAGTCTTCCACCTCCCAGTTCCCTGAGCTCTGGTTCATGAGCACCTAGAAGCAAGGGTTCCCACTGGTTGTACCTGTTTCTGTAGCCAACAAGGGACTTTCAGGAACAGGGCAGAGGAGCAGACCAAAGACTCACAAGGCCTTCAGACAAGTCCTAGCCATGCCCAAACCACGGAGCCATGCATAATGTCTGCACTGCCTCCTCCTGCAGTTTAACTTCCTCTTCCAAGGGCACCTGTCCTGCCATTCCTCTCCTCCTCCTCTGCGTGGGGTCTTTACAGCAACCGTTCAACTAATGAGTCCCAGAGTTTCTGACTAATTTCATTCCTTTCCCCAAAATGCTTTTTGGTGCTGGTAACCCTGGTCCCTGCCCGGTCCCAGCTCCATTTGCTGACCTTAAAGAATTTATCAATTTTGCTAAGGTTGATTCTCTTCTTGGCATCCAGTTTGTAAATGTTACTGACATTTCCGTCCATCAGATACAGGCCGAAGCCCATCACCTAGAATGAGAAGGGACAGAACTTGGAAACCAATCCCATCCACTGCAAGTTTAAAGAACAGGTCCAGGACGTGGTGACACACACACACCCACACCCACCACCACATCACAGAGATCCACATTCATTACAAAGACTCAGATGTCTTCAAATAAAGGCAAGAAAGATGTTGAACTTTAACCTGAGAGGAACATATTATGATAATCATTTCTCAGCCCTTAGAAGGGCCAGAGTCTATGCTGAGGACTTTAGTATCACTATAAATAATAGTTCATAATGATCACAACACTACTACAAGTCAAGTATTATTCTACACCACAGCCTCAATTGTTATGTGAGGAACTGGAGACGTGAGCCAGCCAGCCAAGCTCAGGGACAGCCTCTGAACGGGAACTAATCCACATCTGCTAGGTCCCCCCTGACACAGGGACCTTCCTAGGGTGTGTGTAGCACACGGTAGGCGCTGGGAAACCGCCAGGAAGTGGGCTCATGTGCAAGCAGCCACATCTTTCCCTAAGAAGGCAATAACGTGAACGCACCCAAGGAGCCACAGATGACTTTGTTTTTAAAAGGTGGTTGAAAAGCCCATTATGAAAGAGTTAACTTTCCTGATATTTCAGTCCATCCAACACTACCCTGAATCCAGCTCAGTTTGCTCCTGTGTCATTTGCTCAGCTGAAGGGACATGACCAGCTGTGGGGATGCAGGAGTTACTCCTCGCTGTGCCTCAATTTCTCATCCAGCACCTAGGACATAAGATTAAGCTCTCTTCCCCCTTCAGCGCCTGGTGTTTGACCACCAGCAACACACTCTTCCAGTGAAGGGTGGATGGTGCCCCCTTGTGGCATCCAAGTTCATCACCACAACTGCATGTGAGCCAAGAAAGAGCAAAACTTGGAGGCCAGATTGAGGAGAGTGGAGAATTCCGAGGGAAGTAGGCTGGGAAACAAAGGTGCAGAGGGACTAAAGGCAGGTGAGAGAAACGGGAGGTCTGGAGAAGCTGAAGGCAGCGAGGCGGCCTGCTTATTAGACAGGAGCTTCACAGCCCAGCTCTGGCTGCAACACAGCTGTAGCAACTGGCTACGCAGGTGAGGCGCTGTAGGAGGGGCCTGAACTTGGTGACCTTTCTGGATTGATAGTGACTGAGAGAAGCCAGAGCGAACCAGTCATGAAGCTGCTCTGTCCTGTACTGTGGTCTGAATACAGTCTCCCCCTAGACTGGCACAGAAGTTTAATCCCTGGAGTCATTCAGTAATAGTATTAAGAGGGTGAAAACTCCACCCCACCATAGAAGATGATTAGATTAGGCCATCACGATGGAGGCCCCTGACTGCATCCTGGCGGCTTTCTAAGCAGACACCAACGTGTTCCGCCCTGATGTGATATAACCAAAAGGACCCTGCCATGCTGTTTGCACTGCTCGCTAAGGAAACTTGAGTTTGTCTCTGGTATTTTATTATAGTAACTAAATATGAACTGATGCACCCTAGAAACTTAATCAAGGTGCTAGAAATGTAAAGTCAAGAGCAATGACCCAGAGAAGGGATTCTTAGAATGGTAAGAGTGACATGAAAGACAGAAGAAAGAAAAACTCTGATAGATAAGGGTTTGGGAGAAAAAATAAAAAAATATGACACTACTGGGGGGTAAGGGGTTTTAACAGAGTTTAGCAAACAATTATTCAGTCACAAAAGATATGTGAAATAAAAGTATCCTCATACACTGGAATGCTTGACAGTCATTAAAAATTGTATTTTGACATAGTCTTAGCGACATCTCGAAGATGAACACAGCATGTTAAAGGAAAGGAGGAGGTTACAAACCGTTATAGGCAGCAGGATCTGATCATTAAGAAAAAAGAAATAGCATTATTTAAAAATGATTGGAAAAGGAAGGAGGCAGGGGGCAGGCCCCGGCCCGAGTGGGGAGCTGTACCTTGAGGAGCATGTGCTTCTCGCTGGGGGTCAGGTACATCTTGTTCTCGTAGTAATCCACACAGATGTTGACAATGTCGGCCAGCAGCTCCTCGTAGCCTGGGATCACTTCCAGTTGCTGGTGGAGACACTGGACAGGAGCAGCGCCCTCCAGTTAGGCCCAGCAGGCACCCTCCTGCATCCTCGCCTGCCCCACCTGCACGCCCCCAGCTGGCTTTGTGTCTGAGCACTGAGCACTGGCATGGACGGCATGGACAGGAGTCCCCAGCAGGCCCAGGCAGAGCACAGCCCGCAGCAGCCGGTGCCTCCAACATGCTTCGGTGGTCAGGGCCCTTGGTACCTCCCCACGGCAGGGAACCGACTCCTCTGGAGCCCTTCCTGTGATCCAGGGTGATTCTGAGGGTAAGAAGGTGCTGTCTGGGGCTGAGCTGAGGAGCAAGCAGCTCAGCTTTACAGCAGTAAGCTGTAGTATTCCCGTTTCCCTCCAGGGGTGTGGATGATGGCAGAGAGGAACCATGGGGGGGTGGGGGGTGGGGAGGATAACAGGGCCAGCAGGACACAGCAGTACAGAAACCTCCTGCACAGAAAGCTGAGGTCCTCATTCCAGGCCTGTCTCCCCGAAGTGACAAGCTGAAACCCCGCAGGGTACACAGAGGAGGGCACTGCTGGGCTCCCTACAGGGTCCCTGGACACGGGACGGCCTCGAGCAGTGACCACAGCAGCAGTGGCCTGGGTCTCAGTAATGATCTGGGCTGAAAACCCTCAAGAGAGGCTCACAGCCATGAGCTAGCAGCATTGGCCCGACTCCTGCAGATGCTCTTGCTGAGGTCTGTTTAGGGTGACTCAAGGCAGCAAGAGGAGTCAAGCTATGTTGGGCAGAGCACAAGATTCACAGATGCGGACATGTGCCCTGGCAAAGAGGAGGTGGTGATCACAGTTGTGTCTTCTTATGCCCTGACCAGTGGCATGCTCCATGGGCTAAAGGTTTTATTTCTGAGAACAGTCCTATGAGATGGATTCTCGTAACATCAAAATGACAGACCCGTTTTACAGATAAGGAAACTGAGGCTTTGACTTTGCCCTAGGTGTCATAATGGATGACGTGGTAGTCCAGCTCTCTGTACAAGACACTGGACCACAGACCTGGCTGAGCAGCTTCAAGGGGCCTGAACCTGAGAGGGAACGTCACATCCCTCTCAGGAAGTGCAGTGCAAATGGAAGACATGGACAGACCCTATGCACCAGACTCAAGGTCTGTCCACCCCCAGGTCCCTGCCTGTTTCCCCAGATGCCAGGGAGGACTAGCAGGTGTCTGCCCTCACCTGGGTGATCCTGTTGTGGTTGGCCAGGAACATAGAAAGGTTCTGTGACTCCTGGATGGATTGGGGGTCTGCCATCTTCCGGAGGAACTGGGCTGCCCTGGAACACAGAGAGCGAGCACCTCAGCAGGAAGGTCCAGGCACGGTCAGCTTGAGCTGGGCTGCATGGAATCCTGCTCCCAGCTTGCTCAAAGGGATCCCATCCCTGAGGTCAGTGAGCCCTGACTATCACAGCAGACTCTCAGGTTAAAAGAAAGCACATTTCAGAGCTGTCCGGGGAAGCTGCGTACAGCACCGTGACAGGGCATTGAAATTAAATAGCAAGAATGTGCCCCAAATCCTGAAACCTCAGAAAGCTAATGGGGACCAGCATTCACCAGCCAGGCAGCAGTGCCAAGAGGCAATGGAGGGAGTGTCCCTGGGGCTCACTGTGACCTCCCGTGGAGCTGCACATCTAGTGACGAGAGGATCCCAGGCTCTGTGTGTGCTACCCTCCCCACAGGAAACCCTCTATGTTCTGAAGCAAAGCACAGCATGCAAAACCAGTCTAACCACGCCAACAGGACTACAGCTGAGGAGATGACAGGTACAGGGAACCTGAGCAGGCTCTGAGGGAGGAACATACAGGTCCCCAGATGTCCCAGCCTCACCTGGCAGCAGTGCAGCCTGTGTCACTGTGACCCATGATGACAGGATCCTCACTCCTGCCCGGGTCTCTCTTTATCAATGATGTGGATGCTGAAAATCCTCCCCCAGAAGCATGCCCAGAACACATCCTGATACTCAAGGGAGCTTTGGGATGGCTGCTTCTTGACCTCTAGAGATGACCCCCAATCTCAGCCATTCTAAGCTGACACTGAACCCCCAACTCCAAGACTCAGCACTGTCCACCCAGAGCACCCCAAGCCCAGCACAGTGACTGAAGGAGGGCACGGCATGTAGTGCAGACTAAGGCTAGTTCTTCCTGGGATTTTTGCAAAAGCATTTGGAAGGAGCAGCACTCTTTCCCTTAAAGGCTGGAGCTGCTACTGTGTCTGGTGGAGTTGACCGCAGGGCAGGGCTGAAAGGAGCCCAGAGAAACAGAAGCCCAGCAGAGACTTGGGCCCACAGCGCCTGCATGTGGGCCTGCTTGCACTTTCTCAGGTTTACAAGCCAATTCACTTCCTTTCCTCTGAATGCATGTAGCTTAAACAAATGGACTAAGGTGAGCAATCTATGACCACCTTCCCACCGGGGAGGAAAATGGGGACTTGATTACATCTTGAGAAAAGATCAAGTTTTCTAAGGACCTGGCTCTGCCCTTACACCTCAAACCACGCCGACCTGGGCCCAGCCGTGCTGTGTCTGGGGCATGGCTGGGCTGGTACCAGCAGCAAGCCGTGACACGGGCTCTGGGACTCCCCCGCCCCCACGCTGTCACCGCTCCCTGCAGGAGGAGCCTGGCTGGGGGTGGACGGAGCTGACCTCTTATAGGCAGAGTGGTCGTTCTTGACGCTGCACTTCATGTTCTTCAGCTCGTCCAGGACGGCGAACATGTTGATGAACTTGCCCAGCGTCAGGAGGTAGGCCTCCGAGACGAAGTCCTTCCTGCGCTCGGCGTGACACAACCGCTTCACCTCGCTACAGAACCGCTCGATGGCCTTGCGCTGCGGGAGGAGGGCGGCAAGCACGTGAGGCCAGGCTGGGTGGTCCCGGGTGGGGTGGGAGTGGCCTGCTGAGGTTTCTGGTGGCAGAGCCAGGCCATGCTGTAAAGGGCAAATTGGCCAGGGCGCCTTTCTCAAATCCAAAGCTGACTTTGAGCTTGGAACCTGCGCCTCAGGGAGCAAAGCCAGTGAACTCACTGGGCACCCATTTGCTGCGGAGGGTTTTGTCAGATTCATGTTTGCTGCCCTGGCACCATCACCAGGTGGGGCACCCCACAGGTGAAGGACATCCGGAGAAAGAGGTCCACTCACCAACTGTTTACTGGGCACCTGTATGTGCCAGGCACCACGCTGGGCACTACTGCAGAGCAAGGAGCAAAACAGGCAACTGCACAAGCCGCTGATAGGGCTCGTGTCTGTGCCTTAATGGGTGAAGATAGAAGGAAACTCTCTCTGTCAGGATGCCATACGTGCCACTGAGAAATAAAGCCTTGCGCTGGGAAGGCTCAAAAAACGATCCCTCTAGGAGAATGCAGAGAGGGGATCATGACAAAGTGACTCTTAGGAAAAGAATTTGAAAGAGGAGAGAAACACGGGTACAGTGGAGGGAAGTGAACAGCCAGGGCAAAGGGACTGGGGTACAGCTGAGACAGGGAGGAAGTCGGCCTCAGTCAGGGAATCAGCTGGAGCAAAGTCAGAAGGGCTGGGCCTTGACTCCTGTAGACCTCTGCGGGATGAGAGCTCTGAATGAGCAAACTGGGAAGAGACAGAGGCCCTGGAGCAGGTAGCATGGTCTGCAGTGTAATCGTCAAGGGTCACAGTGGCTGCAAAAGCGATGAGATCCATGATGGGGACGCAGGAAATGATGCACAAGGCTGCTGCATTTAAGGTAGTTAATAAATGATTAGTCCTACTCCTAGAAGAAATGAATACCCACGGCCACACAAAAACTCATACACAAATGTCTGCATTTTGCTCCTAACAGCTCCACAGCTGGTCGTGGGCTGCGGGGTGTGGCGACACACACTTGTAATCCTAGCATTCGGGAGGCTGAGGCAGGAGAATCACCCTGAGTTCGAGGCCAGCCTAAGTTCCATAGTGAGTACAAGGCCAGCCTCCACTAGAGTCTGTGTCTCAAAAAAATCAACCAACTAAACAAAAAAAGGTGGGGGAAAAAATAAAAATGCAAATAAATGTGTGACTATGCTACAGTCATAAAAAGGAATGAATTTCTAACAGGTGCTTCAACAGAGGTGGTCCTCTAAAGCATTACACTACTGAAAGAAACCCAGATGCACAGGGTCACATATTGTGACGTTATTTACAGGAAACGTTCAGAGCAGGCAAATCCATAGAGATACAATACAGATGCGTGCTTCCAGGGGCAGAAGGGTTTCGGAGGTATTATCAGGTGATGGTTTGGGGGGTGAAGGGGGTCCTCAAACTGATTCTAGTGATGAACGCACAACTCTAATACAGTGAAAACTGTGCCTGTGCATGCTGAATGGGTGAAATGTATGGGGTGTACATTACATCTCAGTGAAGCAGCTGTGGGGGATGGTCCAACAAGATAAAAGAGGCTGATGTAGTAGCCTAAGAAGAGTGAGCAAGGGAAAGAGAAGAAATTTAGGGAGAGACGGGAGAAAGGGACAAGGAGGGAAAGAAAGATGAATCCTTCGCTGTGAGCTCCTCTCCACCCCCACAGGCTCAGATGCTCACCAGCCAGGCTTTCCCAGAAAGAACAAGCCAGGCTGCAGGCGCTGCTGCCAGAGTTGAGTTCAATTAAGCTTCTGTGGTGATGAAAATGTTCCTGGGCATCACTGTCCAATAGACAGCTGCTTATCACATGTGCTCTGAAGCACTTAAAATACACCCCATGTGCTTCAGGAGCTGAATATTTCATTTCATGTGATTTTAAGGTCCACAGCCACATGCAGGGTAGGGCTTTAGCTCTGGACAGCAAGCACAGCTCTCACTGATCTGATGAGCTCGTTGTCAGCCTCTGACGTCTCTCCTCTCAGGTCTGCTTCTCGAAGAGAACAGAGGCCTGAGGAAGGCAGGCCACTGGCGCTACCCCAGTGCTGAGCCGTTCTGTAGCCGTCACAGTAGCTCGAGTTGGCTGTTTGCATACAGACCTCCTGTGCCCTCGCCCCCCACCAATCTAGGAGGCAGGCACCAGCACAGGGAAACACCTGCAGGTGTCAGGGAGGTGACCCAGCTCGCAGACACACCGTGAGTGCAGAGCTGGGATCTGACTCGGTGGAGCTCCTGGCTGGAGCCACATGATGGCTCCATGAGTCCCACCTACCAGACACCAGCCCTGTGCTGGGTGCAGGGTGGACCCCAGCACTCCAGAGTCTCAACAGGAAGCTCAGTTCCTCAGGGAATATACACAGGGTAGGTCCAGTGCAGCATGAAGCTCACACTGGGCTACAAACTGGCCTTTCACTGTGGTCCTCCACAAGTTCCAAAGTGACCGCGACAATGACCTGCTCACGATGTGCTTCTTCTGTCATTGCTGTCCAGCCAGCCCACTCTCTCACCTGGCACTCCCGGGAGCCCTTGGTCCCCTCTTCCTTCCTCCTTTAAATGACTGCTCTTCCAGTTCCCCACTGGTCCCCCAGCTGCCCCCCTCAGTATCTTTCTGTCCCCCAACTGTGATCTATTGCAACACTGCAGTCAGATGTCATAAAACCTCAGATCAGATCATGCAACCAAAACTGGCAGGGACATCCCGTGCCGCTGGGATAAAACCTCACAGCCCACGGGGCCCACGTAAAGGGCTCCCTATCTCCCACCCCACACCCCCATCCACCATTCCCCCCGGGCTGCTGCTCCACAGCCGCCCTAGCTGCCTTCTACTTCCTGAGCACATCAGAGCGCTCCAGGCCTCAGAGCTCTGGCCTTGCGGCGCCTTCTTCCTGGAGCTTTTCCTCCTGACCATCACGACAGCCACTCCCACATGCAAAGTCCACTCGCAGCCACTTTCTGCAAAAGCCCTAAAGCAGCACCCACCAGTAGACACTCTACAACCCAGGCATGCTGTGAACTTTATGCTACTTGCAGCCCTTGCTGTGCCCTGGAAATGTATTGTCCATTTCACAGCTAGTCTTTCTTTATGCCCAAAGCATACTAACATGCTCGCTAGGATGTACAACTTAAAGATAACATGTAATGTACTAACTATTGTTATTCCATTGTTTTATGAATTGTTTTTACCTTTTTCATAAAATAAAAAAAATATTACAGTAAAAGACACATTGTCATTAATTTCATTATCCCATCATTATTCTTTTTTTTTTTTTACCGGTACCGGGGATTGAACTCACGACCACCTGCTCACCAGGCAGGTGCTTGTGCCGCTGAGCTAAATCCCCAGCCCCTATCCTATCATTCTTGCCATTGTCCTCTTTCCTGCATCTTTAGTTGCACTGTCACAGTTACCTCAGTGTTCTGAATTGATGCAAATATTTGCTTTTCATGGTCATTTTGACTTTGAGGAAGGGTGAAAGGTTGTACGGTGCCACATCATGAATAAGGTGGATGAGGACACCCTGTAATGTTTTTATAAGCCTGCCTTTCCCCTGCAGAACACTTGGTAGCAATAGTCACCATATATTTTATCATATTTTGTAAAGACACAAAGGAAAGGTGAATTCCAGAGCTGTTTCAGAAAGTGGTGAGATCATAACTTGCACAAGGGCGGGGCACCTGTCTGTCTGTCTTGCTCACTCGGGGCTGAGTGGGCAGCTCTTAACAAATAACTGCTAGATGAATAAATAATATAACACAGCACGGAAGTCCAGAGCCCAGGGTTGGCAAGAACGGAGGCCTTTTCAAGTCTCCTCGTGTGGCCCCACGCAGGCCAGCTCACCTGAAAGTACATGAACTTCATGAGCTTGGTGACCTCTGGCTCCAGCACCTCCACCGTCTTCTCATAGATCTCCACTCGGTTGGGCTGCTCGTTGCACTTCACCTGTGGGCACGGAGCATCTCAAAGTCCTGGTTTGCCCAGGCAGCCATGGTTCACCCCTGTTGCCTTATTAAGCAGGCCTCTTTTTACCCTCATGCATGCTTCATTTTGGATGACAATTGGCAGGGTCACCCGATTAGAGGAGGCTGGGGTAGCTCCGGCAGGAGGCGGAAGGATCACTTAGGGACTGGCTGTAGAAAAGACACCAGCTGGCCTGGGACCAGAACCCTCTTCCATCTCTGCTCTGTGCCGTGACCGTGAGCAGTAGCCATGCTCTGCATGGATTCTGCAGAACACATCAAAGGAATCTGCATGGATTCCCTCCTTTGCTACCTTTTCCCCAATTCCTATTCTATTGCACCTGGAAACGCTAAGCGGGAAGAATTACCCTGTCCAATCCTCTCAACATAGCTGGTACAAAGCTCCCCTAACTATCCCCAAGCCAGTGTTAGCCAAGGAAGATGTGTCATGAAGAAACCCATTTTTCCTGCCCAATGGTTTTCAACCAGCAAGTACAACAGAATCACACAGCAGATGTTCCCAAAGCACACATTCCAAGACTGCACCATGCTGGCGGGCCTAAAGAACGAGCAAAGGCAGGCACAAGGATAAATTTTTATAATTGCTTAGAGAGTCTCAAAATGGAAGCATCTGACTAATATCCATCAGTGGATGCTTAAATGGACAAAATGATACGATGGTACTGCATTAAGAACTGACAGAAGGAATGAGACCTACATAAATTTTCACTATCAACAGGTGAATAAAGTTACAGAACAGTAGGTATAATCCAATTCCATTTTTGTTAAGCAAAACAAAACTGTAAAATAAGTGTCCATAGATAACACCAGCACAGGGAATCTGAAAAGGTGCAAGTCAAACTGTGAACAGCAGATATCCTTTAGGACCAGAGTTAGAAGGCAGGAGGAGGAGACACTTCTGTTTACTTTGCACACTTATAGTTTGTTGCTTTTGTCACAATGGAACCTGTGAATTATATGAGCCTGATAATGATGGTAGTATCTGTTCCAACTTTAAGTCAGTCATAAAGTATTAGGTGGAAAAAAAGCAAATAGGCAGAACAATATAAAATAGAAACAATGTACTTTTATAAAAGAGGTCATTTACAAAATAATACTAATGCCAGGAAAGAGCCAGAAAATGCTGTGGCCAAGTGCTCAGAGTGGTTATCTATGGTGGAAGGCAGGCTTAGGTGTGGGGTGAGGAGGTCTTGTTTTTAACTTCATACATTTCTGCAAGGGGTTGGGGACAGACAGTTAACATATACAGCATCTGAAATAAAACACTCTCCCTATTACGTACTAGGAAGTACATGTTTGGGCTTGGGGCTTAGGTCTTGTCATGGGTCTTATAGGAAGTCCCCTGAATGTCCTCCACGTTCTTCCTTGGCCCTGACTTACTCCCCACCACTGGGGAGGCTCAGCACAGCTTCGGGGGAGGGGTAGGAAGTGGGAACGCCAGCCAGAGACACAGGCAAGGAGGTCTCACCTGGGGAATGGCCCGGGAGCAGCTGCGCCAGGTGTACAGCATGACCGCGTACTCGTGTCCTTCTTCCAGCATCTCATTCTGAAAGAGCAACGTGGGCTCAGCAGAGAGAAACTGCACCCTCCCTGAATGCGCTCACCTGCACCCCTCAGCCCTCTGCACTGCCCAGCTGGGCGGGCTTTACGAGAAACACCTGCCAGGCTCTGTCCAGCCCTCCCTGGGCTATGGAACCTGCTTTTCCCCCAAAGTCCCAATTATGTCACATGACCTTCAGTTTGGGCAGAACTGACCTAAATTATCCTCCTCATAAACTCAAGGCCTCTAAAACCGGACCATATTTTTTGAGGAAGATGCATGGCCACCTTAGGCAGAATGATGCAAGTCTGTGCATCTCCACAGCAAGAGGAATCCAGGAGATAGGGAGACAGAAAAAGCAACTGGTAAAACCATCTGGGCAGTAGGTAAGCTAAAAACTAAAATAAACAGCAATAATTATGAATGCATAGTATGGTGTATTAAAAAGAAATTGATGGGACAGGCACCAAGCTGGGAAGAGAAGCTCTTCATGGGGCTGGAATATTTTGAGTTGTTTTATATGAATAATGTAGTATAATAGTACTAGAACATATGTAATATACTGTACTGTATAATGTACTGTAGTAATATACGGGAGCAAAATTTTCACATTTTTAATCTAAGAGACCATATTACTATTTCACAAGCAGGAAAACAAACTAATGTCAAGTTTTAAAAAATAGTAAGTAGAACCCATGGAGGAACAGCAGCATGAAAATCAATCTCAGAAATGCCGGGCGCCAGGCTCACTCACCCGCACTCACAGCCAAATGCCGCCGTGGAGCGAGCCTAAGCTCAAGATCCAAACAGCTGAGCAGAAATCCCAGCTTCCCACTTCTCAACCCCTCGGTTGACAGTAAGTCACTGCCTCTCAAACACCACATGGAAACTTGCGTAGATTCAAGATTTGTGTGTAACACAAATGTCACAGCACTGTTATTCACAACAGCCCCAAAGCGGAAATAACCCAATCGCCCATCAGTGAGTGGCTGGATGAATAAAATGTGGTACATCCACACCGTGGAATACGACTTATCCAAGAAAGGTGATGAAGCACTGACACAGGTCTACGACACGAACCTTGACGATATCACACTAAGTGAAAGAAGCCAAGCGAAAAGGATCACATACTGTGTGGTTTACAGGGCAGAGATTTCCGGAATAGGGAAATCCATAGAAACAGAAAGAGCAGTAGTGCTTACCCCGAGAAGCAGGGAGAGAGGAACTGGGAGGGACTGCTAAAAGGTTCGGGCATCTTTGGGGGTGATGGAAATTAAATGGTTGGGATGGCTGTTTAACATGGTGAGTATGCTAACACTGCTCAACTGTCCAATTTAAATGATTTTGTTATAGGAAGTATGATTCAGAAATATAAAAAGAATATTAGACCATCTGTCTTTGTATATACTTGTATCTATCTAAAAATTAAATTTTATGGATTTAATTTTAAATCAGAATATTTTGATCTTGTCAACAAGATCTGATTAATTTGGAGTTTACAACTTAGGACAGTTCTATTTTCCACAGCAGATGTCACAGTTTCAATTCTTAATTTAGAGAACTTTAAAAACCAGTAACACACTGTGCTTGAGATCAGAAAGAACCAAGGTCGCCCTGTGGGTCTCTCCTGCTGTCGTCTGCTTCAGTACTAAGTCAGTACTGCTAAGTCAAAAAGGGGAAGTGAAGCAACGTGAAGAACAGGAGGCTGCTTTTAGCACCCACGCTGCCCATGGCAGTTTCAACTCATTCATTCAACCAATGTTTCACCGGCACTCATGGGGCCCAGGCTCTGTGCTGGGTCCTGAGCAAGAGTGGGGAACAAGAAGGATGCAGACCCCGCCCAGGGTCTCCGAGCCAGACCTGCTGCATTGCCAGCCAGGAATAAAGGCCAGCATGGTGGGGCAGAAACAGCCCCAGGAACCAACTCAGGAGACTCAAGTTCTGATCCTGGGCTCTTCCTGGACTCATCTGGTGCCTTGTGTCACAGACTATTTAGAAATAAGTCAAGGACCAGGAGCATCCTCTGGGAGCTGGAAAAAGGGAGGCCACGGGGTTTCCCCCTGGACCTTCCAGAAAGGTCACATGGCCTTGTGGGCACCTTGATTTAACCCAGGGAAACCCATGCAGGGCTTCTGACCTAAACTTCTTGTCAGTGAATGAATCTGTACAGCTTTCAGCAGGGAAGTTGATGATCGATTTTTCCCAAAGCAACAGAAAATAAAACCTGATCACCCTCAGACCCAGTCTTTCCCTCAGACTTCCCTGCTGGTGTGCCCAATGTGCAACTTTTGGGATATCTCACTCAGCAAGGCTCCTGGGGGACTGTGGAGCCAGGTGGAGGCATCTCCAGTGTTGCTCACAGCCCCGTCCCCCTGGCCATCACCAAACTACCATTCACAGCTCCCAAGGGAACCTTCCCAGGCAGGGCCTGCCCGCCCTGTCCCAGGGAGGAAAACTCTCTACCGTGTATGATTTTCCATTAAATGCATGACAGCCCTCAGTTTTAGGCTGAGCTGTGTCCTTTCCTTTACTGAAGCCCTAAACCCAGTACCTGAGACTCTGACTAGATTTAGGAGCCAGGCCTTGTCAGAGGTGGTGAAGTTCAAGTGAGGTCACTGTGCTGGGCCCAAGCCAATGGCACTGGTGTCCCTCTGGGCAGAGATAACGGGCTCACAAAGAGAGCCATAGGGTGGACACACAGAGAAATGGCCACACGAGGAAGCAGCCCAAAGCAGGAGTCTGCAAACCCAGGACAGAGTCATCAGGGAAACCAAACCCACTGACACCACCCTCTCAAATGGAGAGAAAAGAAATTTCTGCTTCCCAGACTGTGGTGTTTTGGTATAGCAGTCTCACTGACACGCCCTCCACGTTCTGACCCCTCTCTAACATCCAGAAATGCAGCAGACAAGTCCCCGCCTGTGCCTTTCAGCCCAAACCTAGGGATCACTCAAAATCCTGTGCCTTCGCTCAGGCTGGTGTCCCTTCCCCCAGGCTGGTGTCCCTTCCCCATCCCTGACTGAGAGCAGAGTACAGAAAAGAGATCAGGACTGGACATCAGTGCTGAATTTCAGGTCTAATGCTGGGACTTACTACTTGTAGGATCCTAGGCAACTTGGTCAGTAACTGCTCTAGGTCTCAGTTTTCTCATCTCTCAAATGGATGCAAAGATCTCTTTGCAAGTCACAAGGCTACTATGAGGCTTCAGTGATATCACACATGAATGCCCCAGATATATTTTTTTGAATACAGTCTTACTATGTAATCCCAAAAATATTTTAAAGTGCAGTAATACTTTATTATACCCTAATGGGTCATCACTTCCCTTATCAAACTTATCTGGCCGTCTTGAAGCCCCTTCAGAAATACAGAACTCAAAACCTTTAGCACAACATGGACTCTTTGTGCATTTTTATTGGTCTCAGAAAGGAGTCCATATCTGGGTTTAGATTTGTCAGTTGTCAACTGTGCAACCCTGAGCAAGTTTCTTCCCTGTTTTAGGGCTTCAGTTGTAAAATGGGCATTATGACAGAAAAAGTTCATGCAAGGATAAATAAGACAATGAACTGAAAATATCTGCAGGGAACAGGTGTTTAGCAAGTGAGGAGCACATCCATTTCCCACTTGACTCACCAGGAACTGGGACTTGTCCCTAGTATCCTAGGGTACCTCCTCCGCACTGACACTGATCTCTCTAGGCACACACTGGCACTGGCTTCAGGACTCAGGTCTGCTAAGTCACTGGATACACAGGCCACACTGAGAAGGGGCCCCGGAGCCAAAGGCAGAGCCTGTGAAGGCAGCCCCAGAGGCAGGGGCATGATCATTCCCTCCCTCTTTAGGTCATATCCTGAGACAGAAATAACCAGCTCCTCTTGCGAAGCAGTTTAAGCCATCAGTAACTATGAGTCAATAACCGTGTTATTACCAAGTCAAGACCACTATGTCTGTTCTTTGAGGAAATTTCTACTTTGTTAAGAGAAGAAAATTTCATAGCCAGTGCTCAGTAACCTATGAAATAGAAGACAAGACAGGATCCAACCATGTGTTAACCCAAAAACTCTTAACAGCTCAGGGAAGTGAGGAGTAGGGATTAAGAAGAGCCCTACACTGAGCAGGATTTGCAGAGCTGAAAGTTAATGGGGTGCAGCTGCCCCGAGGCACTGAGGTGGTACGGCAGAGCTACATACTGGGCTCAGAGATAAGCCTGGCTGAGATAGGGCTCTACCAATACTGGAATTCAGGCCCCTGGTGTGAGAAGATACCCGAGGCCCTGCCTGTTCCAGGCGGAGCAGGTCTGCGCATGTGCACCACACTTACCATGCTGGAGTGGACCGTTGCCTGCTCAATGTACCTTGCAATGCCTGTGACAAATGCATTCCGGTCCTCGAAGTTCGTGTCAAAGTTAGCCTGTGGAATTAGAGAACGCTGGTTGTTGCGAGGCAGGTCCTGGATGGCTGGGTGTCCAGGAAGCAAATCACTGCCAACAAACACCACAAGTTCTCTGTGCAAACGTACAGTGACATCAACCCTTCTCTTAATTACACCAGGCAGGAGCAGGCTTGGGACAGGGTCTCCCAATGATCAGGTACACTCAGCTGCACAAATGCGGAAAGACACAAGTCCACAGCTGCTCAAAGCGAAGACGTTTATCGCTTGGCTCCAGTCATTCAGGAAGCATGTGTAAGAGCCATCCTGCAGCATTTTTACAGTGAAAAACACTGGAAACAACCTAAATGTTTATCCACAGTGAAAAGCTAAGTATATCTATACATCTTACGAGTACTATAAGGTGATTAAACATAATGTGGAATTACTATAGTATGGTCATAGAAAAGTATTGGTAATAAATTTTAAGCAAAAACCATCATAGGGCAATACATATAACAGAAATTCTTTCTTGATAAAAAGGAAAAAAATGTATGTATGTGTATATATATATTTACCATATATATATATATATATATATATTTGGTAAATACATGTGTGTATACAGAGAGAAATTAAAATTAAGATTTTAATCTGGTTTAGAAAATGTGAATAAATTTATGAATGGAAGCACCAAGCATGTGCTGAACAATTTAGTAAATATAACTAAAATTTATGTATTTGTAGCCACATTTAGCAGTCAAGGACTTGAAAAGGTCAAGTGCAGCACAGATTTCCAGTGAACATCTGCTTTCTGATTGCAGCACTTGATCGCTGCCCTCCCCCCTGCACCCTGCCAGGGTCACGGTTTTGTGCAATCCAACGCGTTTATCACAAGATCTGTTCTCAGGCAAAAGCTAACAACTGTGACCCACTTCCCTGAGCTGTAGCTGCTGTGCAGGTCCTAACACTCCTCTCACTTACAGGGAGGAAAAGTAATTACCCAGGCAGGCTCTAGGGGGTTCTAAATTGCAATATTTCATTGGTAAGGTCAGAGCTTCGAAAACATGGTTGGTGCAGCAGCAGTGACACTTGGGAAGGGATTTGGGTCAGAAAAGATCAACAAGCTCTCCCTGGAGAAAGTAAATAGTCCTGATGCATGTTTATCCGCTCATCTACACTTTAAATTGGGCTCCTTGAGAACACAAGGGACTCCTCGGCTCTCAACCCTTCACCTTTGAGCTCCCACTCCCCCACCACGGCCTACAGGGCAGACCATTTTAGGGATCCCTCGGATTTCGGGGCTCCCTGGCATGCTCTGCTGTCTCCATCACCTGGTACATGATGGAGGATGGTGGAGGCTCGATGCATGGCTGCTGGTCAGGGAGTGGCAGCTCCTCGAGCAGGTCCACATTGGACAGGGCATCCTCCAGGGTGACGTGGGTCGTCATGGCTGCGGCTTCTGTGTTCTGCACTGAGAAGAGAAGGACAAAGAAGGATTGCAGGGGTCTGCAGACATTTCTTTCGACCTCACCCTGTCTGAGCCCCTCCTGGAGGATCAAGGGAGATCCCACGCATTGAGGCCACTTCCACCTGGCACTTTTGTCACAAGTGCCCTCCACCTGTGCCTCTGATGCTGAGAACCTAGTTTCCAAACACAGTGTGCCCATTACACCTGGGCTAAGCTTCACCGCTGCCCTCTCTGACCAACATGAAGGCTGAATTCTGTCCCCATAGCTGGTAAGGTTGTTTCTGTGACATCTTCTAACCACGTGGCTAAGGGCAAAAGGACTTCAAACTAATGCCAGACACTGGAATATGGGTTATAGTTCTCCACCTTCCATTCTTCATATGAATATTTATCAGTTCCACCCTTCCATGATTACACAGCATAAATATCCATGATCACAAAAGCCAGAGCCTCAGTTTCATAGGCTAATTAAGCTGGGACTAAAAGAATTCAACTGCTGAGAATCAACTTTGTCTGAAAAAACTGGAAGGGCCCTAATGGTTTCCTTAGATTGGCTTTGTTTTATGAGCTACACAAAACCAATCAGCCCTCAATGGGTATTTTTGTGTCTTGGACCATGGCAAGCACAGCTGCTTGGACGATAACTTTGCCAGGCACTGAAGCTGAAAGGATCTAAACAAAGCAATTGACCAACTCAAGCTAATTGCTATTTTAAGAATTCAGCACCCAGCAAACAGAATATTCATTTTTTCCCCAAACACGTGAAGCAGTGATTAAAAACTGACAATGCATGATTTAAGTTAAAAATCAGACTGTCACAAATTTCCTCCAAAAATGGTATCTTAGAAGTTACATACCTTGATTATAATGCAATGAAATTAGATGCCAATAATACAAATAATAGCAAAAAAAAATCCACTCCTCTGGAAATTTATAAGACATGCAGAGCAGCTGGATATGGCCATATATGCCTGTAATTTCAGCACTCTGGGAGGCTGAGGCAGAAGGATCATAAAGTCAAGCTCAGCTTGGACAACTTAGCAATTTTCTGAAAGCTGCCTCAAAATAAAAACGGGCTGTGGACACAGCTCAGTTCCAAGGCCCTGGGTTCAATACTCAAGACTTCAAACAAGCAAGCACAAACCACATAAAGGTTATTCATAGCTACAGAGGAATTCAAACCAAAATGATAAAGCACTTAGAGCTCAAAGGCAGGGTGCACTTAAAAATGTTTTAAACATGCTTAGTAGAAAATAAAAATATAGGATTTAATGAGCTTAAGGTTCCATTCAAAAATCTAAAGAGAGAAAAACCACCCCATAGAAATGAGAACACAGGGACTAATCATTACAAAAGCAGAAATAAATGAAGAAAAAAAATAAAACAAGGCCAAAACATAAAGCAGTAGAGGTAAACAACAACAAAAATCTCAACTGAGCTTGCCAGAAAGGTGAGGACCATAAAGAGGACACTGTGTGGGGCAGAGCTCCCTCCACATGGCTGGAGGCGCAGCTCACTGACTGCACCCTGGGTCAGACAGTAGAGGATGAAAGGACCATCCACATACAACCTCGGTCCACGGGTGTGAGGAGCTGAGAGGGCTGCAGAATGCACCCAAGGTCACGCTGTCATTCCATCAGAACTTCTGCAGGGCCAAGCTTAGGAGGGAGGCTGGGGGTGGAGCCCGCACCAGCTGCAAAGCGTCAGCTCCCAGCTCCCAGTCACACTTCACTGCCTCCTCACACGCACCTTCCTGGTGTGTACTGTAGCAACTGTACAGGCCACACCCGCTGCACAAGCCTGGCTTCCGGTGGTTTCCGGCCCTCTCCACACCTAGGCTTCTCTCCAGACCCCTAGGGGTGGTGTCCAGGCCTGCGGCAAACCATAAGAGACTCCTTTCTTTCTTGTAATACTATCAAGTCCATTTTCAAGAGCCCTGCTAATTCTCTTCAATCAAATAGTAATTGGCTTACTACTTCTATTTCTTTAGGGCTTAGTCTTTGTCAAGCACTGTGGGAAGCACTCAGCTATTTTAATGTCACATCAACCTTATAAAGGTAAGAAATATGACTCCTTTACTGGACAGGCAAATAGAAGCTCAGAATTTATGTGACCAGGTGAGGTGCCATCAAGTGGGGGAGCACAGTTGGAATCTGAGTTTGCCTCGATGCAGTCCCTGGTCATCTTTGTCGCCACACACTTCCTCCCAAATGCCTGGACCTCAGTGTGAGCCTATGCTTAACGCCATGAGGTCTGTCCTATGCTCAGCGCTGTCCATTAGCAGTTCTTGGCTCTGTTCAGGCCAAAGCTTCTTAATAACACAATGACTGGGCTCCACGCTTCAGACCTGTAAGACTACATTTTTAGAAAATATCCCACTTCATTTGCAATACAGAACTCCAGATTAAAATTACATGGAGATATCACTTCTTCCTGACTACCCTGGCAGCAAAAATCCAAAAGTTTGATGGCACAAGTCTTTCAGCAAGGTTGCAAAGAATCAGGCCCTCATATGTAAAACAGGACAACCCTCAGGGAACGTAATCTGGCACCATCTAAGGAAATTTCATAAGCATTCTACCTGCTGACCAGCAGTTGTGCAACTAGGTATCTATGACACTGGCCAAAATGCAAAAAGGCATCTGCCCAAGGCCACCACAGCCAGAATAATGTGCAACTTTGAAAAACTGCAAAAAGCCCAAGCACAGAGATGCACCACTCTCCCATGATGCACTAGGAGCACTAAGACAGGAGCGAAATCACGTGACCCATGGGATGCGCTCCAGGATACAGCCCACTGGGCACCTCTCCTTTATTTGAAGAGGGGCAGTATATACACACACATGCATCTCCTATTTAAGAACTGTGAGCCACCAGGGATAGCACACTTGCAATTCCAGCACTCTGGGAGGTGGAGGAGGCAGAACCATAGCTGAGGGCTGGGGACACTGCTCAGCAGAGAACAGAACGCTTGCCCAGAAAGCGCTGAAAGAAAAAACGACTCAAACAATGGAAGGACAAACTGTAAATTTTTAAACACTGGTTACCTGTCAGAAAGGAGGGAGAGGAGGGAATAGGTTTTAAGGGGACAGGGAATTCTTTTTTTTTTTTTGGTACCTGAGCTCAAACTCACAGTCCCTTGCACGTGCCAGGCAGCTGCTTGTGCCGCTGAGCTACATCTCCGGCCCCCAGGCTAGAATTCTTTGAGTTACTCTGATTTGTAGATTTGACTGTGAAATGGTGAAAATATTTTCTGTCACTATAAAATAGCATTTAAAATTTAAATGTAATTTCCAAAACAAAAAGCAGAATGAACTAAATGAAGGGATGTGTATTTTAGCTGTTGGGATAATCACACAACACAAAAAGGAACTATTCCAAGTGATACTATAGTTCATTTATGTGATGGTAGATTCCCAGTGAAGAGCTGCAAAATAAAATCTGTTTTTTAGTAATATATTGATACTGTCTGGATGCACTGTAGGGTAAAAGAAATGAACAATTATGAAATATCTATCACTGTTAAGAACTGGCACTCCTGACATTCCAGAAAGGAGATACATATATAACCCTGAGGAGAGCACATGAAAATATAACATAATCCAGTCATGGTAGAACACACTGGAAGGCTGAGGCAGGAGGAGTACAAGTTTATTAGACCATGACTCAGGGAAAAAAAGTGGCGGCTGGGAATGTAGCTCAGTGCAGGAGGCCTCAGGCTAGGTTTCCGGTACCAGCAAAACAAAATAGAAGCAACCAATACAGATGGCTTCCAATTCAGGACGGTTTAATTTGGTTATCTTTCTTTTCAGTGATACAAAAACAATAGGCATTCTGTAGCAAACATACTTTAAATTTTGATCTTGTCCTAGATTTATGATAGGCTTACATGAAGTATCTAAAATCCTAGATATGGATTTGTAGTATCCATAGAAATTTATGTTTTATTTTTAAATGTATACATATATATATAATACACCTGTATATATTTTAAAATGTATACATACACATATTTTAAATACACACAAATATACATAAGAAAACACACATATCTTGGTCCATACAATTGTGTTTATATATACATAGGTGTGTGTGTCATGTGTATGTGTTTCTGTTTACTGAGATGATCTAAAAGCAAAGACCAACCCTGAGCAATGAGCACCCTCAGCGTGAAGACTGCGGTCTACAGACATCATTTCCTACCAAAGCTATCAGCAGTCCTTAAATCCAGATCTGGAGGGGCAAAACAGCAATACATGAGAAATGCAAAAACATCTCGTCGAACCAGAAATCAAGAAAACTATCTACCTGCGGTTACTGGAGCTATGTCTAAGAGACACTTGAGTCCATCTGAAGCCAAAAAGATGGGGCGACGTGGGCATCAATCTGCATAACTGCAATGCACCAGAACAACAGTGAGTATGTCACATGCGTGAGATCAGAAAGACACTTCATAAAAAGTAGGGTTTCATCATTTTGTTATCTTGAAGGATGCCTACGGATCAACTTTCAAGCTGAGAGCAAAAACACAGTAAACATAAAGGAAAGAAGCAAATGGCTTGCCTTTCCTCAATAGAGCATGGGAAAACCAAACGGGAAAAGAGCAGGACACTTTTTCCTGCATAAGAGAGGGTTTTTTTTCCCCCTGTCTGTCTCAGAAGAGGGAAAACTAGGATACCCCTGTTTTCCAGTGTCTAATGAATAAAAGGATCTACACACTGGTCCTAACAGCTGCTATGATCACTAAAGGGAGGGCAATCAGACCTTACCTTGGTCCTGACAGAACAAGGCCCAAACACCTATGAAGAACGCTGGATACAACAGGAAATGTACAAAGCCCCCACTGCCAATTCACAGCAAGTGCGGAGGGGAGAGGAATGGGACACAACACACCACAGGGACACAGTCAGCGCAGAACCACCCGTGGCAAACTCTGCTGTACCAGCAACTCAGTGTCAACTAACAAACTGAAAAGGGAGGAAAAAAAAGGAAAAGAAAAAATG